GTCTCTCAGCCAGCTGGCCAGTGGGACAGTCAGTGGAATCATCTCTCCCTCCATCTCTCTCTCACTGGAGAGATCTCTGGCACTTAGAAGTGAGTTTTATGCCTTGAAATATGGTCATAATGGCTGCTAAAAAAGAGTTCTTAGCTAGTTACTAACTGATATTACTGGAAAGGCTATCAGCTAACCTATTACCAGTGAGAGGTTGGGCGAAGATAGAGAGAGTGAGCGTGTTTCTATCTTGGTTATAGTGGTGTCAAAGTCGGTAGAGGTGAGCCACAGAACTGATGTTACTGCATCCTGCACCAGTGAGACTGAGCCTCTGGCTGAAGTGAGGGAGAAACCACGTGTGGAGCTACCAGGACTCACATGGGTGGGCTCACAATGTGGCTAGTGTGTGTCTTTGACACTACACTACTCTTATATTTCACAGCCTGCTGGTCACCATAAGTATAGTAGTGAAGATAATTTGGGCCATTCAGTGGCCATTCAGCCTCCTGAGATGGCTCACAATCCCACCTTTCTGCCCTGCTGTATGTGTGGTAACACGTAACCTCTGTTTGACTACTGTAGTTTCATGCAATAGCTTTCAGTGGAACCTCCGATAAGGGACCATCTGAGATGGGGACAATCTCACTAAAAGGGACAAAATCGCTGGCCCCATAATGTCATTCGGAGGTGCAATGTAGTGTATGTATATGTTATAACTGAGACATTCTGCACGTGTATAATATTGCTGCTCATCACAGGGTGTGGTGTGGACCAAGTGGCACTATGTGTTTGCCGTCATATGCCCGGTACCTATGGTGCTCCTGATGCTGCTGGCAGCCAAGGGCTGGCATGGGTTTGCCATAATGGCAGGGGCTATCCCCCTCGTTGCCATTCTCATTGGAGTAGGTTCGTGACATCATTCAACCTTACACTGTAGCTCAATACATAGGTACATAGTGGCGTAGTGAGTATGATTCATCCCTAATGCTTGCAGGATTGTAGTTTGACATATGCAACACCATGTCTCAATGTCTTAGTGGTAGCTAATAGCCAGGTTATAGATAGTGTCAGTTCCACATGGAAGAAAAAAGAACAACCACCACCCTGCCGGCTTCCTTAACACAATCCCAGTTGAGTAGAACCTCCGATAAAGGACACTCCGAAAAAGAACACAAATAGAAAAACCTCCAATCATAGCACACACTTTGGGGTCCCAAGCATTAGGTTTTCTTTGGTTCTAGTGCATTTTCTTCTTTCTAAAGGAAAAACAGCCCCAAGGTGTCCATTATCCCATTCAAACTCTCCCTCACACCCACACACATGCCCTGCAACCCCAGGTCTGGTGATATCAGTGTTGATGGTGGTGCTGCTGAGGCCCAACAAGCCTCCCCACTGGGCCATGCTGGCAGTCATGGTGTCCCTCGCCTTCGTTCTCTCCATTGTCTGGCTCAACATTATCGCCAACGAGGTGGTTGGGGTACTGACAGCCCTTGGTCTCCTCCTCAACATCAAGACAGGTCCGTTGTTTCTGAGATCCAAATGTGTCCATTGTACATACGATAGTCAATACACACCTAGGGCAGCTCTTCGTTTCTACCTCACCTTGTTGTTAACCAACAGCATCTTAACTACACAGTGCTCAATGTTGTTTTCCATGTGTACAGGTATCCTTGGTCTGACAGTGCTGGCTCTAGGTAACTGCGTGGCTGACTGGGTGGCCGACACGGTGGTGGCCAAGTCTGGCAACACTCAGATGGCCTTTGCCTCCTGCTTTGGCTCTCCAATGCTTAGCCACGTCCTCGGACTCAGTGTTGCCTTTGCTGTAAGTCAGAAAATGAATGTAGTTTTGATAGGCATTGGCTAGCTCAATTGTAACTTTACTCATGCAATGTTCTACAGGTGCGGATATCAATGGACGGGAATGGAGCTCCATATGTGTTTGATATCACTGTCCCACAGTACTCTGTGGTGAAGCTGGCGTGGATCTTTCTAGGGATCTCACTACTGATCACCATCATCATGTTTCCCATCTTTAGATTCAAGCCTCCGCTGTGAGTTACCTGGCCCCACTTTGAACAGCAATTCATTCAGGATTTAGAAGCCAAGGGTAGAGCTAAAGGCACTCTAGGATTCTTGCGTAGCACCGTAGACCCAACACTTAGTCTGTCAGTGTATTGGTGTGGTGAGACACAAAGGGAATTTATTAACAGAGAGAAAGACCGTGACTGAGCTGGTATTACCAGGGATGATACACACATGCTACTAGGGGTTGGCACCAGAGGTTATGTGGTGCATAACTCGAGGTATATAACCTGGTGAAGAAAGCTATCCGATCCAGCGTTTACATGCCTACATCACTAAATGAATGCTTTTGCACAACCCTAGTCCATGACTACTGTGAACTATTCATTTGCTGTAGTTACAGGTGTTTGAAACTTTGATTTCTTTCTCTACAGGTGGTATGCCATTTTCCTCATATGTTTTTACGTCACGTTTGTTGTCATGGCCGTGCTCTGTGAGATTGGAATCATTCCTCTCCTCTTTTAGTGCTCCGTCGTTACTCCCACACAAGAATAGATTTTAACACATGCCCAAACAGCAAAAACAAACACTTTTGCTAATAGTATTGAGTTTAAGTTACTGTGTAATTATACATAAACATCAATATTTATGTTAAAAGATGACTTTTACAACAAACCAAAACCACTGTTTAGTAACGGGCCTCCATAGTACGTCAATAAGAATTTATATATGGCTATAATACTAGACGTTAATATGTTATACACCAATTTCTGCTTATTTATGGAGATACTCATGGCGTCCAAAAGGATAATGAAAGAAGTGAACGAGAAAAGTAAAACAAAAGTGTTGTAAGATTCACACCAGACTGTTGTGTCTCGAGGGGTGATCTGGTGGCATGGAGTTTAGGATTTCAGAGGCACTGCGGGAGTACGGTCGGAGGTGGTTAAGCTCGGACACCATCCGCAGGAGAAGATCCTGGTGACCCTGGTGTTCTCCGCTCGTCTTTTGCAGGGCTATCATGAACTGCCTGAACCCGCTGACCCCTCCCTTCTCTATCATCTGGATGAGTCGCTCGTTGGCGTCAGACTCGGAGGCGCTGGCGTAGTCCATGAGGGCCTGGCCCTGCTCTATGGTCAGAGCTCTCTGCTGGATGAGAGCTCTGCGGATGACCCGGTTCGTCAACTGCTGACAGATGTTGTCGTAGTTGCTGGTGAGAACCTCCATCGCGTTCTTCTTCTCAACATTCATTTGAGCTGCAATATTATAATAACAGGGGGTCTCTTCGTATGGTTTTTAAGTGTATACCTACTATAGCGCTTTCGTAAGGCTTACCAACAAAAGTATCCCTTGGTGGCGATGTGCTGTAGCCTCCAGATATCATCTGTATGGACGTAAGACCAACATCCAACACATACCAAAATACTAACAATAGTCAGCTGGTTGTACACATACTGTTTGACAGTGTCAATGAGATGGTCACTTACCCTTTGCACACTTGGACTGGTGAAAACTGAAAGTAAAGAGTGAATTGAATGATGAGCTCGAGTGCTCCAGTAAGTTTCATGCAATTCAGTGAAGATGATCTTGCTTCAGCGTCAATTAGGAATGAACGATTCCAATAGGACACCAACAAGGGGTATTAGGCATCATTATAATTACTAGGAATGACGGAAGTTAAACTTCCTTTTGGTAAGCGTGACTAATTGACGACGTACGTACGTACGCATATCGCGAGAATACAACCCGGAGTAGTTGCTTCATGCTAACACGCTCGGCAATTATTTGGCATAGAATAGTTTACACACATTATCATTATGTGAACAATTTGCTTGCTCGTGTGAAGAGGTGCACTTTTATAATAGCAGAGTGCAGGGAAGCATTGTCATAGGCATATACTAGTAATGATGCCACACCCTTGGAAGAATGATAAACTGGGGTATTGCATATCAGGTGGCAATTCACAGATGATGTGCAGAAAATTCTTCTCCTTACTTGGTGCTGACATGGTGCTCGTTGGGGATGAGCGGCCACCATAGTGTCTAAACACCTCTCTCTCTGGCTCCTTAGTGTCAGGTGGCTGAGTGTATCAGAGGGAAAGAACATGTACCTTAGTAAACAGGACAAATGAATGGTTTCAGCATTGCAACCGAGTCATACTCACTCTAGACTGCAGAGTGTCGTGGGTTCGAATCCAACCCAGGGCAGCTCTTCTTCTTTTCTTTGAAGAGAAAGAGCTGTCCTGGGTGTAGTTTACCTTGCCTTTCTACCTGGTTACCAAGTTGTTCAGACATGCATATACTGGGTTTGGAGTTGGGCGTCTTTGGTGGATTAATTACCCCTGTCTACTCCTACATACTGAGTGAGAGTATACTGTGCCATAGCACAGTGGTTTGAGGTTTGCTTGTGTTGTGTTGTGTTGTAGAACCCCTACCAGCTGAGTTGCCCTGGTAGCTCAGTTGGTAGAGCGCTCGCCTAGACTGCAGAGTGTCGTGGGTTCGAATCCTACCCAGGGCAGCTCTTCTTCTTTTCTTTGAAGGGAAAGAGCTGTCCTGGATGTAGTTGACTTGTTTGCCTTGCCTTGCCTTTCTACCTCGTTACCAAGTTGTTGAGACATAACTGTAAAGTCATTATGCAATATAGAGCATACTTGGGGTTTATAAATATTTAGGGCTCCAACTCTGACTCCGGTTCCATGTCATTCAGAGTAGATGTTGAAGTCACTGTAGAAAAGACAGTAGTTGTAATAATTATAATGCACGAGTGACATGTATGCATCCAGTAGTACTAACAACCTTTGTTTCTTAGTTAGGACAATAGCTTACAAACAACATTGTTAATACCATGGTGAACTTAGTGTCTGGAGTACACTGTGAATCCTTGAAAGAATGAGTTGTCTTGGGGTTACCTTTGCGTTTGTGACCTCAATGTTTACAAGCACAAAAGGCTCTAATATTAATTTGCTGGGCTAGGTCACGGGAGTACCACTGGACTGGATATTTCAGCAGGCAACCAACAACATTGAGCAAATAACAACAACAAGACGATCTGAGCCATTGGAAAATCGTTAGCGTCTCCTGCCGGAGCTTCTGGAGTGGTCTCGCTTCTCACGAAAAACCAGGTACTCGGTCTTCTAGTAAGCAGCGGCGCATGACTACCGAGACCTAGGTAGCTCTGACTACTGCCATATTGACAACCATGTGGAAGTGAAGGTCCTGCCACTGGGACTACTGTCTCATAGGACCAAAGGCAGACGAAAAGGGATTGAGATGTGCCATGCTACTTACAAGTGGGTCTCCGGGGCAGGGTGAGAGGAATGTCATAGAGGAGCTGGGTTTGAGTGGTCCCTCTGAAAGAGAACTCGACGGAGCTGTGCCCCACCGCCTGGTGTCCTATCAGGCAGATGGTGAAGTTGGGTGGGTACATGTGGGAGCTCATCTCAAAACGACTCTTGTTCGTCCCCAGCTCTACCTGTGATGCCTCTATCTGTGTAAAGTGAAATAAGATATCTTTCTTAGAAGGTCACGAGAAGCAGTAGGGCTTGGGTTCTGTGGTAATAGAGATAGTGGGAAGCATTTTCTCTTTAGGAGGCTGCATGTCGAGTCATAACTACAGACAGAACCACCTTTGAGCATGTGTTGATGTAGCTATATAGTAAATTTCAGATCTTATATGTACACACTGAATCCCTTGCAGTTGTGGTGCTTCAAAGAGCATTGGTGTATTGTGATATTAACACACTCTTACAAGTACACACGCACGTTGTGATTACGTAAGGATTGTCGGTATGCAAGTCATGGTGGGTTTCACACTACTCTCCCAATCTGTCACTATATATGTACACATGGCTTATAGCTTGCCATCCTTGAGGATAAACAATGCAGCTTCATGGGCATTAAACTACACACACACACACACACTAATGTGGCTTACTACAGCATGCCCAGCCACACATGAACTATAGCTATATCAGACCTGTTTGTAGCATCCTTCCTTTGTGATGGTCCAGTGCTCGGGAGTAATTTTGGTGTATTCCATGGTGATGCTGGGGACGTGATTGTCTTCACCACTGATGTCGAAGAGAAAGCCCTTTTCCTCCACGCTGTGGTCACTGGTAAACTGCTGTCTCACCAGCTGGAGAGAGAAATCAATATGAGAATGTTCAGTATTCATAGATGAGACTATGGGTGGTACAGAGTGGGCATGGAAATGGCATGCAGGCTGTGAATTACGTTGGCGACATTTGTACATACCTCGACACAAGCTGGAAGGGCGTATGTGACAAAGAAGTAAAGTTTCCAGGAGTAGGCTAACGTGCTCCTGGTAAAGTTGGGGGTGACACGCACAAGACAGTACTGTGTCTGGGACACCACTTCCTTGGATCGTGTGGCAGCCACACAGAAGAAGTACTGCGACTTAGAGAGCTTGGTACTGAGGATGCCCCTGTTTGATTGGATCTTTGATGCCTTGTGAGCCCGGACAAAGCTGTAACAGTCCCCCTGATCCTGCGCGCAGAGGATGTGTAGCTTGCGGGAGACTTGCTGCGAGCTGGCATGAACAGCATGAGGGACCCCGATCATGAGTGGCTTGTGCAGCTTTTCCTGTCCTTTAATTCTGACCCACAGTATGGGAGATACTGGGGTGAGGGTGTCGGGGTAGGTAAATGGACCCTACAGCGGCCACTGCGTACTCTATCTCCATCTCACCTCCATCTTGGACGGCCTGTGGTGGGATGGTGAATGAGATCCCGTGGACTTCGTCATGGTGAGTCCCTCCGGTAGACACACACTTCAGTGACTGTGGCTGGCTCACAAATTGAATCTCTTGTGGAAACTGACTCGACAGTAGAGTGGCCCGGCCTATCTTCATGCTGGGAACATTTGTGTTGGTGTTAGAAGTGCTAGCTAAGGATGATGCATCGGAACTGGTGGAGCATGTCTTGATGGTGATGCCATCTGGCTGACTCGGCTGTGACAGGTCGTGGCCAGAGGTGTTGATGATGCTGTGACTGTTAGAGGACGAGCTACTGGGAGGGAGGTAGCTGAGCGATTCGTCCAGAGGCTCCCCCCCCTCCTCGCCAGGGGGATCAGGTGGTGCAGAACTGGGGGGTTCACTTTGGTTGCTTTCGATGTCCCTCTGCGGTACAAGTGGAGTGGAGGGAATTCTATACTCCTCTGGATTCTGCAGGAAACATAAACAAGCATAGTACACAGTGTAGCAACATTGGATAAGGGAGGCCCTTTTATAAACTAACTAAGTCCTAACACAAACCTTGAGGACAGACGCTAGATTCGTCTGAAAGATGCTCATTGAAGAGAAGACCCCAAGCAGGACATGGTACGTTGGGCGATCTTGGGGCTCCGCAGTGTCGCTGCTTGAATTTTCATCAGAGTGCGGACTAGTGTCACAGTTTTGTAAGTCATCTGAGAATTCCAGAAGCTTCTTCCAATTACTTCCCACACAACTGGCAAGATCACGAATAAACGGCTTGCTCACCTGGACGTTTGTGAGCCGGTGATCCAGGAGGCTGTTGAGGTGGGACTTTTGCAGCTTAGAGAGCCACTCGTAGGGCTCAAACGACCGGAGTTTCACCATACTCTCTGCAGAAGGGGCAGTGGTGGACTTTGTGATGAGGAAATTTTTCAGAGTGTCCACTTTGATCCCATGGGCTAGGATGTGCCTCACTTTCGTTACTGGCAGATTTATGCCCTCTATTGGAACTATGTACTCTGTGATCTTTACCATTGGCTGCAGGAGCTCTCTCTGTCGGTGGATAATGGATTCGAAGAGGTTTCGGAATTTGAGGCAGGAGAAGATGCCACTTTGTGAGCAGCGCATGTTGACGACAACGGCCGAGCTGTCGATGGTGATGTAGACCTGCAAGAATTGAGCTATCTCAAAATGAAGACCTGATTGCGACATCGAGACATTGTCGTAGTCGTCGAGGGAGGAGTAAAGCTCGTACAGCAGGAAGTAGAGGAAACGAGGCATGAAAACTGGAATGACCTGGTTGGGCCGGGGAACGATGCACTGGGCAAAGCCAATGGTGTAGCTGGCATCATCCATTTTCCATACTTGCACTTGACCATCAGCTGAAGGGTATATATTCAAGACACTCGGGAGAAAATACTTTGTGTCGTTCCCACGAGCCATGACTTCCATGATCATAAAGTGGTGCAAGATGTTCAAAAGAACTGCTTTTTTGAGGGAGTTAGAGAGGGGAGATAGGCAGTGGACTAACTTGTCGTCTGACATGATGGCTGGATTAAGGTAGCTGGCTGCTGAGAGGCGCATTGCTCTCTGTATCAGTGCACTGTCAATCAGCGTGATGAGCTTCAATTCGTCAAATACCACTAATGGGTCTTCGCTGTCAAGATGACTCAAGATTAGTACCGCCCTACGCTCTTCCAGCTTGACCAGCAAAGAGTGTATGTCCTCGACGTGGCTAGGTGGAGGATTTTCGGTGTGGCTTGGGAGTAGACTGAAAAGGGAAACTGGAGCAGTAGAGGAATGCTCAGAGACAATTTGTTGAATTTCACTCAGCTTTACAATGGGGGGGTCGGAATCTCCCGGACACATGGCATGCAGGGCATTCCAGAGAACATAGCACGAACTAGGGACCTCGCCTACTCTTGGCCTCAACTCGCGGCATCTTCTGTGCAGGGCTTTCCTAAACTGATCCATTCCGGGAGATTGGCTGCGTCGACAGTCCATGCTGAACTTGCCGATGAAGTGAAAGTGGCTGCAAAGCTCTTGATGTGTACTCAGGACTCTGTGGTAGGCAAGGTGGAGGCGGTAGCGGTTTTCAAGGCGAAGACTGCCTAACTTGTAGTAGAAGAGAAAGCTGCCTACGACTGCAACGTAGGGCATTTTGCTGGGCTTGAACTGGTGGTGGATGAAACTGAGCCAGTAGAGGAGAGTGGCCTCAATCTGCTTTAGCTCCAACTTGAAGCTAACTGTGATGACAAATATCGCCTTGCCATTCATGGCAAAGGTGGAAAAGATGTTTTCCTGTGTGCTCTGCTTACAGCTTGCCAGCTCGTAAAACTTTATTCTACCGCCGTAGCCAGAGCCGGAAACATCACTGGCGACTATGCCTCCACTGTGGTATTCCACGTTGGACGTGGGCAAGAATAGACCCATTGCATGATTTAGGACACCTTCAATTTGGACAGACTTGATCAATGTGCTTTTTCCTGTCTTACGGTTGCCCATTACAAATATGCTGACTGGATGATCAAGAGACTGCTTGTGTCGGAAGGAAGGAAAGACTTCCCTGAAATCGGAGAATTTGGAGGCAGGATTTCCAACCTCCAGAGACATGAAGAACCTTGCAATAGAAGGGTGGCCTTCCCTGACTGCCGTTCCAAACGGAGTTGACCCCGCTCTGTTTGTTTCGTTCATGCATCTCGCAGAATGATATTTTCTCGTCAATCTGCTCACGATTTCCATCGAGCCGCTCCTGCACGCAACATGTAGAGGCGTGTTTCCGTTCTTGTCTCTCCTTGCCGGCGCTCCGTCCGGTAGGAGCCGACACAGCGCCTCGATCGCTTCCGCCTGTCGGTATTCACAGGCAACGTGCAAAGCTGTGGAGCGACCGTCCCTCGTTTGCAGGCGAGGGTCGCATTGTCTCTCCGAAACAAGTAGCTGGATGACTTCGCCTCGGCCGTATTTGGCGGCGTAGTGGAGTGGGTACCATCCGGCGTCGCCATGTCTTTGCAGCGGGTTGAGCTGGCCCTTCTCCAGCAGCGATTTGACCCGCTCCCGGCGCTCTTGGCTCGTCAAACGCGACTCTTGCGAACACAACTCGAGAAACTCATCCATTTCTGGTAGTACGCCTCTGTTGCAACCAGGATTGAGGTGTGCCATTCCCCAGTCGTGAATATAATTATGAGCAAAAATTCCTCGAGCCGACTCGCGCATGCTCAGCGATCCAGGATGGTTCTCCTGATCATTGCCTTTAGGCATATTTTGCGCCACTCTCCCCATTTTATACATAACAGATTAGCGTATAATATGGCCCTTGTGTTCGGATATTAGGTACAATATGGGGAGAGTGGCATAAAATTCTCCCTTTAGGATTTGCCCAAATTGCGTGGGCGTCGATAAGCATGGCTAAAGCACTCGTGAATTATAGTGAATTTTGGTACCTTTCTCGGATTTTTCACTCCTTATTTTACAAGCTCATTAGTATATTCATATTCCTCCTCCTTACATTCTCTATATATAGCTATGGGAGAGAAAACCAGTGCGCGACTTCACAGGGAGCGAACGGTTTGTCGTCATTGTTCGATCACGGTCACTTGTCTGTACGCATGCGCGCGCCGACAGTTCGGTGCGCATAAGAATGGCTACTCCCTTTGCGGGGAAGAGGGCACTGGTCACAGGAGCCGGGAAAGGTCAGGCGCGAGTACTGCTTGCACCATTAGATTCTCATTTTCACGGTTTGTTGGCTGTACCTCAGTTTAGCCTTCTGTCAAAAGGAGGCCGACCCCGAACAATGTAGCTAGTTGTATGTATAGTGGAAAATAACACAACAGCAACAGTGTTTCTTTCTCCGGTGGTTTTAAAAATGATTTAATCAACGTAAAGGTATTGGTCGAGCCACAGTGAAGGCCCTGGTTGAGTGTGGGGCTGAGGTGATAGCTCTGTCCAGGACTGAGGCTGACCTCCACTCCCTCAAACAGGAGGTGCATTACAATGTGTTCTGTACCTGCATGTTTGTTTTCGGACCATTACTTTATCGAAACCAATGATCCTTAGTGTATTGCTATGTGAATACAAGTAAATTAAAAATCCTGCGAATTTAAAAAGAGGCATATAGGGATGGTATAAAAAGAAAGGGAGACAAGATAGGGATTGGGATACATGAAGCATTTAATGAACAGATTTGAGTACGCTGACACCCCCAACCCCATCACACAATCCCTATATTGTTGCCTGGTGTGCTACTCTTATAGGGGCTAAAGGTTACTAAAGCAAGCATTCTTTCACCGTGTCCCTGCTGTTTTTAGTAACATTTATACTGCCACATTCCCTTTTAAACTCCACTTGGACTCTATAAGGGTGTTGGTTACTCAGTAGTGTATTGTAAGTTCTGAGTATTGTAATGGTAAATGTTCAATACTTCACCTAGGCAACAATATAAGGATTGTGTGATGGGGTTGGGGGTGTCAGCATACTCAAATATGTTCATTAAACATGCTTCATGTATCCAATCCCTATCTTGCCTCCCTTTCTTTTTATACGATCCCTATATGCCTCTTTTTTTTTAAATTCGCAGGATTTTTAATTTACTTGTCTCCACTCATTTTTATATACTACTACGTATTATCTCTGTGGAAGGGGGCAAGCCCCTATAAAATGCCTGTTGTCGTCACGGAAATTATATGCATACGATGTTTCATCTCCATGTGTGCTGCCGTTAGCAAGTTTGAGGAGTAAAAGTGCCTGAGGCTATTTGTTGTTGTGGTCGTCATGGAAACGATGTTACACACAGTGCGTACCAAGTTTCATCTCCATGCGTGGTACCGTTAGCGAGTTTGAGGAGTGAAGAAGTAACTGTGCCTGAGGCTTTGTTGTTGTGGTCGTCATAGAAACGATGTAATACACATGCGCACCAAGTTTCACCTCCATGCATGCTATAGTTAGCGAGTTTGAGGAGTGAAGAAGTAATATTAAAGAATATTGCCTGAGGCTTTTTCACCCAATATGCGGTCGTCATGGTGACATGTAATGATATATAAGGCATACATACCAAGTTTCATCTCTATGTGTGCTACCATTGGAAAGGTTGAGAAGTGAAGAAGTAAATTTAAAGAAAAGTGCCTTATGCTACTTATTGTTGTTTACAAACATGTGTTGTTGTGATTTTAAAGTTGGTGATTGAATACATTATGTGTACAAAGTTTCGTTCACATAGCTCTTACCAGCGGTTCTTTCTCACGAAAAACCAGGTACTCGGTCTTCTAGCAGGTAGCGGTGCATGACTACGGAGACCTAGCTTGCTCTGGCTACAGCTCCAGCGCAAGCGCACACTAGCTGTATGAAAAAGCGCGCAGCGACCCCGCCTACTCTTGCGTGACAGCTAGCCGGCAGAGCCGACAAGCGTCTCTCTTTCACTCTGTTAGCTTGCCTGCAGTTAGGGATGCTGCGTCTCGAGCTAGCTACACTTTCTATGCAGAGCTGATTAGCGTCTTCTTGAATTTTCTGTGTTGTGAGCCATGTTTCTGCATACGATCACAGTGGAATGTGCCTCGGGGAAGATTCCTATATGTAGAAGTCCGCTGATCAGTCAGCGGAATACTAAGTGAAATAGTATTCCTCTGATTGACCAATCAGATTTCAGAACTCACTAAAGCCTGGCTCTAATTGTGAGTTATACTGACACATGTGATCCCATTATAATGTATTGCCCGGGGCTATTTGTTGTTGTTTACAAAGAAATAAGTATGACCAGTCTCTTCGGGTGACGGATATACAAGATTTCATTACTTTATGTTGTTTCGTTTTTGAGTTACGCGAGTTCAATCTGAAGAAGAAGAAGAAGGAGAAGAAGAAGATGAACAAAACTCCCTATCATAACCCCATACATCTATGATGCTAGGTACCATGTCAATCCCTATATATACTAAGTACTACCGTACTTAGTGATAACCAGCGACCAGTGTGCGTATTTGCCATACCAATTAGAATGTTCTTGTCGTCACACTTGCCAGAGTCTCTTACAACACACTATATAGCAAAGATCTGTTCCTGTTAGCTATATAGCTACGTTAAAGGGTGCAAAGGGGCTAAATTTAGAAACGTTATTAAGGAAAGAACAAAACAATAGCGCCCAGTGCAAAAATGCTATAATTTCCCGTCTTTAGCAACATTTTAGCCCTTTTATTTAACATTTCAATCCCCTCTGTGGCACGAGGTACCAAGTGTTAAAACAGAGTGTGTAGATGTGAGTGATCTGCCAGCAGTGGAAGCAGTGGTGAAGGGAGCAGGACCCATCCACCTCCTGGTCAATAATGCCGGAGTCACTCAACTACTGAGTGTTCTGGACACCACTCCTGATGCCTATGATAGGTACAATTAGCTATACTGCAGTGTGCTGTGAGAAACTAAAAACTAGATGAACACGTCCACCCTCCAGGTAATTGGTCATAATGAGTGAATGGCCCTTGTGGTCATTTCTCTGCCACCAATTATCATCCACATTCTATGCTACCTGTATATGCAATACCTTAGCTGTGTACATTGATGTGATTGCTACAATTATTAATGTGTGTGTAGCGTAACTGGAGAGTATATATCATTTTCTTGCAGAATCATGTCTGTGAATCTCAAGGCACCAGTTTTCTTATCTCAGGTGTGTGTTGACCATAGGCCCATGCTAAGACTGTCAGCGAGAGCAATATTATATTCCTCCCACAACAGTATGTAGCTCGTGGAATGGTGGAGAGGGGAGATGGAGGAGCGATAGTCAATGTGTCTAGTGTGGCGTCCAGCGTTGCCCTCACTGACCATCTCGCCTACTGTGAGAATTCAAAATACAGTGTGGGCCTTGTGAAAGTATGCTCATCTCCCCCAATTATTCTCATCTCTTAATACACGTGACAGAAGACCGAGACGAGGCAGTAGCAGTAGAAGTGTCGGAATTGTTTCCCATCCTGTCTCTGACACTAGGTTGCTCAGTCTCCAAGTCAGACGTCACTGCACAAGTGAATCTGTCCCACCTGTGGAGGCTTTAGCTTACTTGGACCTGGGCACATGCTCGTGTCTATCACAATCCTAGAATTCTCCAATAGTTCTCAAATTTACCTTGCTTCCCTATTATTAGCACAAGGCTTAATACAGTGTGAGTGTGTGTATGTGTGTGTAGGTGAGTGGGTGGGTGGGTAGGAGTTTGTTCAGAAGTGATTCTGAATTTCACCAGAGTGTGATGTTGTAGGCACTTCTAAAGCTGGTATGGACATGGCCACCAAAGTGATGGCTCTTGAACTGGGTCCACACAAGGTAAAGATTTCTCTCTTAAAATATCTTCGTGGTGATGCGTGTCTCTGTAGATCCGCGTGAATGCGGTGAACCCTACAGTGGTAATGACAGACATGGGGAAGATGGCCTGGTCTGATCCAGTCAAGAGTAGCAATGCCATGACCCAGATCCCTCTCGGCAGATTTGCTGGTATATATACTGACCCTACACTGAGTGTCCATTTGGCATTTGGCAGAAGGCTGCCTGGGAAAGAGGCATTGGTTACGGCACTTTGTGTAGGAAGGTTATGTTTTCTAGTTTTATCTCACTCGCTTCCATTAAACTATTACTTGACACCATAATTCAATTTTACCATGGTAAAAATCCATATTGCATCCTACAATGATCTGTCTTTCAGAAGAGGCTGATGTTGTGAATGCCATTGTGTTCCTGCTGAGTGACCAGAGCTCCATGTTGAGTGGAGTTACCCTCCCTGTGGATGGTGGACGACTTGTCCACTGAGCCATCCATTATATAATTATAGCTACCACTCTTGTAGTTTGTTAAGAAAATCATGTGAATTGTTAAAGTGACAATCATGGGTGGTGCAGGAAGTAGTTTCATGGCACGATATTAAATGTCTTTCGTAATGGGCAATGCTAGTACCTTGTATTCGTAATTAATGCATAGACGACATGTGGCAAGGGTGAAAGGTTATGGCATGACCTAACTATTCCAGTGGAATAAAAGTAGCAGGCAATTGTAAATCCCTTTTTTATTTAGTATTTGGTGATTTTAACCCTCAATGTGTATGTGCCATACTTGGTCTGACTGTGTGCGTGTTAGTCTCTCACAGGCCAGACCCATACGATGGCCTCTGAGTGGCACCATGCTACAAAACCAGAGTAGCTGGGGCTGCTACACGCTGGAGGCCTAGTTTTGTAGCTATCTTCAGCATAGCTACGGGAAATTTCCTATTTTATTACTGAGAGGAGAGTGTGCAGAGCTGCTGTGTACTCTGAACAAGGGAAACTATATGGGGCCAATGATTCTTCCCCTTGTAGGGAGGTTGTCCCTATCTCAGATGTCAAATACACTAAAGTATTATCATGAGGTTGAAACAAGTGTCCTTTGTAGAGAGTCTGTTGTAGAGAGGTCGTCCCTATTAACTTAGCTGGAACAGTCAACAATCACACATGTTTTGTGGTTAGCCGGTTATAGTATAGGCATACCAATCCCCATTAGGTAGCTGGAGCTAATTGTACAAACAATGCTTCCAAGAAGTTGGGGTTTTCCACAACGCAAATATGGGCAAGTGATTTTGATACATATGGCTGAATATTCGTAGTCGCTTTCACTTGCCACGAGGTGTGTTTAATCGTTCTATAGTAATGGACAGTGTGGCTCAGTTGGGACTCTTCTTCATACTGTTTATAACCTGGCCTAGTACTATAAATGCAGGTGAGTAATACTAGCTATGTAGCTATACACATAGACACTAGTTAGGTGTACCTACAACATGTAAGCGAACCACAGGTGTTGCCCTGACATGCCTAGACATGATCTTTTACACTTCTGACCTTCCATTGTTCATAGACAAAGCATGTCTCCCAAACGGATTGCTCAATCTGAAGCAACTAGAGGCAGTCAAGCAAATTGATACATGGCCAGCAATAGCTGACAGGCAATGGATATTCCCCAGTCTTCAGTTCTCCTGTACAGTCAACCTCACTGGCTTGAGATTCGCAGAGACTTCTAAAGATGTCGTGTGTCCAACTCTGCAGTTGTGGGATAAGTTCACAGCCACTGCTGACATGTTCAGATTACGTGTGTCTTTGACACCTGACCACTTTACAGACCCAACCATAGTATCTCAGTTTGTCTACAGCTGTACTCTGAAAACTCCAATAGTAGTTGATGTTGGAACTGTACTAGGCTTTCTAACCAGATCACCCAGCGGGACTGTACCAAAATCTAATGTTATGTTTGTGCCAAGTAGACGTTTAAAAGGTTACAGCCGAGGCATTGCTACTATATTCAACACTGAAGCAATGCAAACAACGGCTTCCATAACTCCTCTCATCAGTCCAATCATTGCAGGTAACTTTAATATTCAGAGTGTATATAGCAATGGAAAATCGGGCAGGCCTGTAAATCTATATTAAGAGGATGTAATCATGTAAGTGTTTTCACGGATAGCTAGCTTTCTTCACTGGGGTCAGGCATCTTCTTTTCCCCTTCTTTTTCACGAGGTGACATCCCTACATCCCTTTCATTCCAGAGCCTTTTCAATTTAGTTTTGGGCAAAGAATGATAATTCTCCGCATCTTGCGCATGCTCCATGAGTTGGCCACCTGCCGTCTATCTCTTAATCATGCTATTAACCTCGGTTAACCTCCATTAAGTCTTCATTCCTAATGGTATGATGGCATGTGTGTGTGCTTAGTCATTAACCCTCGGTGCGCATGCGCAGCGAGGGTTACAGTACTTGGGTGGTCTGTGTGTCTGTTACTCTCCTCGAACGTCTGTTCGTCCCAGGAACGATACCATCTACCCAACGGGCGACGAAGGTCAGAAAATAAAGGCGGTTTTCTCTGAAAATGCTCCGTTGCAAAGCTAGAGCGCGAAAAAGCCAATATGCGGATCGATGGCTTACCACAGTCGGATCGATCCGCGTGCTCTGCGTACTTCGGATGCACCAGAAGATGCAACGCAGGGCGTGTATCGCCTCTCGCATGCTATCTAGTAGTGTAGTTAGCCCGCGTCAGACTCTGCGCGAGCTGGCAAGAGACCACGAGTAACAGCTAAAACTAAACCCAGCCCATCAATTAGTGGTACGGCGCATGCGTTTACTTACGCGTGCGCGTCAATGTGCGCCGAGGGTTTGCACTTCAGTGCTTTTCATTTTTTATTTTGTAAGGGAAATTATATGACTGTGCCTATATAATCCAAGGGGTTTCCTAAAGCTTTGTACTGTACCTGTGCACAGGGGAAGGTGATGTAATCAGACTACTACAAACTAGAGAACAAACAAGGGCATAAACAATGCCTAGCATTTACTAGTCTCTATCAACAACATTCTCTCATGCGCAGTAAGGGATGGTTTGTGTGTTTGTCTGGCTGTCTGCATGTCGACGCCTATTCTTGCACTACGGGCCACGAAGCGGCTTGTGAGCGTTACCAACGGCTTCAGAGTTAGGCAAGAAAGAGAGAGAGGCAAGAAAAAAGCCTAATCTGTGTCACCCCATCATAAGGTTTTCATTGTCTCTCCATTCTCCAGTCCTTCCCCCTGTCCTCCCCCCTTCTTGTCATGATTTATATGAAGTGAAAACCATTTTACCGATGCGTTTGAATAGGCATTGTAACAGATTATGTTATGAAAAACAACAACAAACACTACTTGAATACAACGTCTTGATAGAGACAACTCTTCTAAGACTGTGTATATATGAAGAAAAACTGACCACTCATACAGAGTGTGGATATAACTGCCCATTTTTCATGCTCCTTAGTTAGCTAGAATGCAGAGAGTCATTATTCTATTGTGTTACCTCAGGGGATGTCATGCCGCCAACACTCCTCTACTCTCCATCTACTATCATAGCACCTCATCCAATCATGACATCAGGCAGCAACAATGCAGTGGTAGCTACAGTGGTCACTAATTCCACAGTGGTTAGTAATGGCAGAGCAGACCGTAACATCAGCACCCCAGTCATCATCACTATGGCTAGTCTGCTCTTCCTGCTCATTTTGGCTAATCTCGGGGCACTTGTGGTGTGCCTTACTAAGCGAAAGAAGAACATAATGGAAGGCTCTAACAGCACAACAGCTCCCAGCAGCACTCATAACGATGAAGAGATACTGTCAACTAACGAGGCGTACATATCACGAGGTATTACAGTGAGAGACAACCCAGCCTACTGGGAGCCGCAGGGGAGACCTCGCGAGATGAGAAGATCTCTGAGTTGGAGTGGAAGCTATGCTTATGTCCGTCGGTTTAGCTAACAGACTCCCACGTAACTCCACTGATGACACAATAGAATAAATATTATATATAGCATGAGTAAATAATTCATATTTACCACTTTGGACGCCATGGATGATTATTTCACTTGTGAAAAAAATCATTATTTCTTCAAAATGAACGGCGATAGAGGAATGGCTCAAAGCATGAAAAAGGAATATACATGTATAGTTAAACAAAGGGGCATTACACAGCTAAGACACACAAAGCTATAGACATTAAAGGTATAGTGATTGTATCATGTAACCTTGCGTATCTTAGTTGTGTGCTACCTCTAGTCATTTCAATGCAGTTTTATTGGCGAGCGAATACTCTCTATAGGTGCAAACCCTCGGCGAACTACGCATGCGCAGTACCTAGAAAGAATTAGCGCATGCGAATTTTCCGCAGCGATAAAAATGACAGACTACGCATTAGCCGTATATACAATGCTGGAAGCGCTCTAGCTTTGTAACGGAGCATTTTCAGAGAAAACCGTTCGAAAATTCTGACCTTCATTGCCCGTTAAGTAGGTTGTATCCTTTGTGAGACGAACGAACACTCGAGAAGTGAGATGTAGAGTAACAGACGCACAGACCTTACCCTCGCTGCGCATGCGCGCCGAGGGTAGTCACCCAAGAAGGAGACACCGACAAAGCCAGTGCTTGTGGAGAAGGGAGGGCCAGACACCTCGTCCGGTCAGCTGAGGATGGGACTCAACCACCCGGCTCTTCTATACAACCGGCGGACAACGAAATACAACTACTACAGACAGTGAGGGTGCCCGCCGGTCGGCAGAAGCCTTGTTCGTGCCACTGTGAGAACCCAGACGGGTGGGGGACCACTCCTTTTCACTCCTGCAGGGCTAAAAGAGAGTCTACAGATGTATCTTTCTTGTTGGTATATATCCTTTACGCCATCCCTACACCCCCCTTCATTTTGAAGAAATGTTTTTTTCCACTTGTAATAATTATGATTGGCAGTTGCTACTATACTAGCAGGAGAGGAGCGGAGCATTCTAGAGGGGGGGGACAACGGGGACGGGTGGGGGGGGGGGGCAGAAAGGGAGGGGGGGGCAAGGAACCATGGGGGAGCGGCGGGCGCTGAGGGGAATGGGGCCAACGGTCGGGCAGGAACTTGGCGGGGGGCGAGGGGGGAAACACCCTCGGGGGGAATATGGTCCCCGGGGGAATGAATTCATTTCGTGGGGGGGGGGGGGGTGGGGGGCGGGCCGGGGGGGGGGGCGGACGAATCTGCGAATGGGGGGGGGGGGGAAGAGGGGGGGCGGGTGGCGAGGGGGGCGCGGGAAACTAGGGGGCGAAATGTTGGGGGGGGGGGAAATGGGGGGGGGGGGGGGGTGAGGAACTGGGGGGGGAAACGCGGGGGGCGGGGGGGGGGGAAGGGGGGTCAGTCCAATATTGACGACAGCCCCCCTGAAAACGGGGGGGGAACCCCGGGGGGGAAATTGTAATGGGGGGGGAGGGGAATCCGAAGGGGGGGGGGGGGGGGGGCGCAAGAGGCGGGAAATGGAAGCTCTCCCCCCATACTCGAACGGGGGCGGGGGCGGGCAAGAAGTGCCGGCGGGGGGGGGACAACCTTCCCAGGGGTAACTTCCTCACAACCGGGGGGGGGGGAACTATACTACTTGGGGGGGGGGGCCGGGAGAAGTGGGGGGGGGGGGGAGAATGGGCGGGAATTCGGGGGTGAGGGGGGGGGGGGGAACTAGGGGCGCGGGAATGCTGGGGGCGGGGGAATATGGAGCCGGGGGGTGAGCGGGGGGGGCGGGGGGGGAACAACGGGGATGGGGCGGAGGGGGGGGAGGGGGGGGGAACAGCGTCGACGAACCCAGGCAGGGGGGAACATCGGGCGGGGCGGCAGAGGGGGCGCAAAGTAACGCGGGGCGAAGTGCCTCGGGGGTGGGGCACAAGCGGGGGCGGCAGAATCGGCGTGGGGGGGGGGCGGGAAGGGGTGGTGGAACCTCATGCGGGG